CGCCCGAAGACCACCAGCCAGCAGATAAGTTTCCAGCCTCCACGACTGGCCTCGCGCTACCTCCATCGATAGGGTGGACCAAATAAAATGGATTCCCCCTCCCGGACATGTGTAGAAACATTCACGAAACCTTGCCCAGGTTCATTCACTACGCTGTTTTCCAACTATCAGAGAGAAGTCATTTCCATCGACAAGATTTAGCTACGCCCCGGCCAACGTATAAGCCCCTGATCCCAGCGCCTGATCTCACATCTCTCCCATCAATCTAAATGGGCAAAATTGAATGTATCTTCCGGTAAAGCCGGGGCGGATACAGTGTTTTAACGCAACCGGTCGCTCCTTCGCTGTTATCCCAGATACCATGCGAGCTCGCATGGTCAAGCTGGGTCACTCCCAAAGGTAAACGCAATTTTTTGTCGTTGGTCAACACCTGTCCTCAACGCGCGTAGCAGTTGGAGAGTGGCCTCCTCCATCGTTTGGATGAGCTACGCACCGGCGGACAAGTAAGTCATCAACTCCACGGCTGGTTCCTCCCCGCTTTCCCGATCGGGGGAACGAGCAAAATCGAATAAACCTTCCTCTGAAAATCGGCCGGATATACGGCGCTTCAAAGTTGCTCTTCGCACACGCAGCCCATGAGTCACGCAACGCCAAATCTACTACTCTAGAGCCCAAACGACGGTCGCCATTGGAATCGCCTCGATCCAAACCCCTGATTGGAATCCTTCTCCGCTTTACTTCGTGGAGAAACGAGGCAAGTAAGTGTTTTCCCCGTTCCCTTCTCCCTTGCTCCCGACACCTCTCCACACTCGTTCTCCCTTCACTAACTCTAATCCAATTAATCGATCGCGCTAACTAACATTACCATCCGCTTCGCCTCACTCTCAAACCCCACCTTCGACTCTTTCCCCGCTTGTTCCTATTAAGAATCAGGTGTCTCTAGTTGCGCCTGACCCCTCCCTCTGCCATAGCTTCGCGCAGCAGTTGTCTCTACTAACTTTCTGCTAATTCTAACTTGACGATCGGGTTCGCCTGCCCCGAAAACCCCTGATTTAAGTCTTCGTTCGTTCGTTTTCGTCGTGGAACGAACGAAACCAACATTCCTTCCTCCCGTTTTTCTTCACTTCCACCATCTTCTTTCCCGGTTGCACCTATATATATATATAGGAAGATCTATGTTGGGTTGTATTGTTGATGCGTTAGGAGTATCTATTGATGGAAAACGTGATATATATATATATATATACACCTGCTACAAAGTGAGTAACAACTCGTTCACCGATTTCGACCAGCCACTAACAATCAGCACCGGGTCAATAGCTGACGACTCATCGAAGAGGAGTGTGCAACCCTTCTACGGAGCTTTGCAGCGTACACCCGGGCAGCGGCTAATCGTCCCTGCCCTTAGTCCAGTTATCCTACGAAGCTTTGAAGGGAAGTACCAACCGGCCGGTAAGTCTTCCGCTCCTACTCCCAAGTCCGATGAACGATTTGCAAGAAATTCCGGAGGGGACCAGCTCCTAGGCTGTCCGATTAGTCTTTTCACTCTTATGCGTTTGTCCAACAAGCAGTGTGGCCAGCTTGCTCCGCTGCCAGCCCGCTACGGCCTCCCCTGACCCTGTCCTTCACTTGCCTCGTTTTCCCCTTGCACTTCACGCGGCTTCCTACAACGCCCGGCCCTACCTCACGCAACTTTCACGGAAAAGCAATCACGGAGAAAGGGGAAAACAGACGAGGAAACCCAGGCGCCCGGGCTCTTTTCCGATTTATGCATTTCACCTTTGCGCAGGAGCCACACTAATCTTCTCTGTATCCTTCCAATTTTAACGGATGTCCCGAAGGACTTCGGCCAGGGCAATGCCCTGCGGCCTTTCGAAGTCTGAACAGCCCCAAGCAGTCCAGGATATCTGGCTATACTCATCTAGTTCCATCATCTGGTCCCGATCCGCGGGCCCGCATTCCAATGGTTCATAGTTGTATCCACTGCGCCAGGCCCTCGGATTCGCGGTCGGTCTCAACCCGGTACCGGCCCCCAATGGCTCCAACTAAAAGCAGAAAATAAATTAACAATAAAATTATAGCAGAACTCAAAAAAAAAAAAAGTGGGGATGCTGACGGAAAAAACAGGCCGCGGGACATACCAGCGCTCCCTTGGTTCCGCAAAGTGGATCGCCCTTGGTTCTGCAAAGTGGATCCTCGATCGGACTCCACCACAAGACTAAGGGGGATAGTCCAATAGGACCGTCAACCCTTTAGCTTCTCCAACGCTCCACTACTCCTGCGCCGTCGCCTGCTGGCCTTGATCCTCACACCTCCCTGTCTCACAAGTCCAATGCCGTAACCTATAGGGCTAAGCCCAAGCCTGAGACCAGCGCGTGCGGAATCCCATATGAAACACTGCAGCATCATGGCCAGGGCTGGGAAAGCGGCCTGGACCTCCTCCCTACCTCAGTACCTGCGACTAAGCCCGACCGCTAGACATCCGTGCCAGCCTACTCGAACTTTCCTACGGCCGCCAAACGCGCATTCAGCCCACCAAACCTATTGCTAGTCGGACATGTCGAACAAAAGGCAGAGACTTTGAAATCCCTACCTTAATCAGTAAATAAGAACCAGGCCAGCCGACTATGCCGGCCTCATGAACAACACAAAGGAAAAAAATCACACGCGAGCCTTAAAACTGCGCGTCCACACACTCTTTGCTCTAGTCAACCAACCAATCAAACATCAACCACAGACTCAGCCGCGCCTCGCGCGGTATACTTAGACTTTCAACCAAATTTATTTTCTGTCATTTGCGAAAACCAGGGCGGATACCCCTGTAAGGGTATTCGCACCACCAGCGGACTCTCTCTCTACACAAGATCTCTCTCTCTCTCTCTCTCTCTCTCTCTCTCTCTC